AATGAGAATCACATGCGCGATGATCATGGCTTCATGTGTAGGAGGTCGCGGACTCACAAGATGAAATTCAAGAGGGGCACCCTCCACAATGTAGTCAGCCCACGCATGCCGAAGACGATCTTGCCAGGTATGGAAATCTCCATAGAGCCGTACTGTTCGGGCAACTCTGCCATGAGGTAGCGGCCAATGATGATCAACAAACCAAACCATTGCAACACCAGACGGTTCTTCGTCTTCCCACGCAAATGCATCAGCACACCAGATCGCATGTATATCCTGGACAAATTCCGGCATGGAGCCAATGCCCCAGGGTTGTCCAGGTACAAAAACCTGAGCGTTGACATTCAGGGCACAAACCGGATCTTGAGGTGGTACTACAGGATGTTCATTGGCGACATCTGGTACGACTCTTGGTTGTTGCATAAGGCTTGTGTCATCAGCAACTTGCCATTCAGCAACATGGATTTCGATGTGGGAGCCATGCCTTGGAAAGAGAGGACGGTCCTCTTCAATAGGATGGCTGCCAGAGAATCCCACACAAAGAAAGAGTCGTCGACGGCAGGCATCCAATAAGTCGGCGAACTGGAGAAAGCGCTGAAAAGAGAGCCAGTGCGGAACAACTCTGGCAAAGCGATTCCATAGCTCACTTCCTTGATCATGCCACAAGACACTAATCAGTGTGCATCTCTCACTGGGAGCAAGATGTTGATGAATGATCAAGTGTCCACCATGAGAATCTGGACCGACAGATGGATAAACAAGGGCAATCTGTGCTGGTGAATCACGGGAAGCCCGATCAGCCCAAGCACGCTTAAGAATATCTTCCCAGGAATCGACATCTTCAGGTAACGCCACAGTTCTGTAGGCATCACATCGAGTCCACGAATCACTGTTCACATACCATGTGACAAATTTGATCACAGGGACGCCATCTGCCGTTTCAGTGCAAGGGGCGGCTGCGGCAGCTCGTCTCCATGCATTCTCCAGATCTTCATGTGAATCAGGAAAGCGATCTACTGGTGGTTCATGAGCAGGTTGGTCATCCGGAATCAAAATTGGTTCAAGGACGGGAGCAGGCTCATCCTGTTCCAACAGACGCCAGGATTCAATCAAGCATGAGTCCAACTTTTGCACATCATAGCCAAAAGAGCTCGCAGTTGAGGAAGAAACCAATGGCTTGTGCAAATGCCAGTGGCTGGTCCAGAGTTGCAGGTCATCAGAATCTTCAGCGCTCTGACGTTGCTGGACATGCTCAATCAGCGTGGAATGAGTTCTGGGAGGTTTGCGTACCCGTAGACCAATGCCATCATGCAGGAGTTGTAGATGGTCACGGTGTTGAATGACGCTGCCAACAAGAATCTCACATGGAAGTTGCCCAATAGCATCGTAGGCCCCACATAGATGAGCAAGACCCGCCCGACGAAGGAGACCATCATGATCAACTTGTCTGTCAGTGACGAGTGCGATCTCTTGTTGTGCGTGCACGTCAGGGCCCTCATGATATGACACTAAGCAAGCAATTTGTGTCTGCATGGCATGTTGCACAATAAGGACAGTGGCAACTGTTCCTTGTCCAGGCGATGCAATTGGCTCTGGGGCAACAAAAATCATGTGGAAGGCTGTCAGGTCCATGTGGTCCTCCCACATAAAGCGGACATCAGCTTCCCAAGTTTCAAAATCAGTGTCAAATCTCAAAGGGCGAGACGCTCTGTTGCTTCGATGATGCATGGGTGAAAGATAATGTGACTTGAAGTACATAATGGGTCCCTCCTCAGCAAATTCAGTGGCTCCATGGACAGTGAGGTGGTCCCATGTATCATGGATCCATTGTGGTTGGTCAATGCCTGGTGGTCTGTCAAAGGCATGACGGTCAGGACCTTGACGATCATGTCCATCTCCTTGTCCTGGATCGAAGTCTTCATCAATGCTTGCAGTATGTGGTTTACCATTCCAGCAGACTGCTTTGGCTTGATCGAAGTGCTCGAAGAGGAGAGGATCAGCATCAATAGGTAGGGCTGGCTGGAGAGACTTGGTCAGCTGCAATTCCACGAAGAAGTCAGTGCTCTCTTCTGTATTGCTACTGCACAGGGTCTCTTCCTGCAGATCTCCAATGTAGACACGTAGAAAGTCACCGTCACTCAAATGCAGTGGTTCACTGAAATCACTCGCAATGATGTTGTTGTTGTACCACAATCTGCATCTCTCTCCATGAGTGTCCAAGAGTGGCTCCAGATCCAACATGCGAAATATAGATCGCCGATTGATGGTCATGGGTAACCATTTGGAAAATCTTCTGAAGGCCCCTGGGAGAATGTCATTCTGCTCATAGATCTCCAAGTCGATGAGCAGGAGTCTGAGAAATTCGGACGGGCGAGGTTCAAAATGCATTGCAGATTTTGTGTGATGAGGTCATCAGGGCGCGCTGGCACGCTGTGCAAGGCCAGAACTTCGTCTGAGCCAATGCTAAGGGCTTGCGCAATTTGGGCTGTAAGAGGTTCTGCAGCATCTTGAGACAGCCGAGCCGGGAACATCTGACCGTCTAAAAGAATCAAAACTGTTTGTTGCCACGTAACTCGCGGTGAGGAGGGCGTCAAACTCAGGGCAGAACTTGTCGATGAGGCAGAGGTCGCCATGGTACTTGAATCTGTGCGCCGTGGACCAGGTCGCCTTGCCATCAAGGAGAGGGAATCATCTTCATCATGCGAAGGTCGAAGATGCCAAGGTTTGTCTTCCCATCCAACCAAAGAATCATGGTGAACTTGAATCTCAGGAAAGTCGAAGTCATCGTCCAATCCAAGAAATACGTGCACCAAGGGGTGAAATGAAACCTTGTTGACATTGAGCTTGTTGCGCAGGGGAAGAACAATGCTGTCGATTCGAAGCTCAGCTGAAAAACCCAAATCAGCCGCTAAGTCGCCTGCACGTTCTATTGCCTGCCATTCGGAGAGAAAATCTCTTTCATAGGTGATTGAGTGGGACCAGTGTAGCCGTGCAGCGAGAGGATTGATCATCGCTGGTGGTCCGTCATGTGGCATCGGCCCCTGGTGCACATACAAAGCAGTCATGTCACACCGGCCTAATGAAAAGACGCACGAGGCACATTCTCGCCAGAGTGGTCTTCTTTGTCTGTGCGCGGTCGTTTGACCTGCTGCTCCAGCAAATCTGCTGATGCTGAGAGCTCCACAAGGCTGCTCACGATCGTGTTCATGCCATCGTGAATGCGTTGCGCACCAGTGTCCTGTTGATCGGCTGCAGCATCGTCCATGAGATCGCCCTCTTCGTCGTCGTCTGACACTTGGATAGCCTCTCCTGCTTCGGCCTGCTCCCTTTTGGATGCAAGATCGAAACGCCTTTGCGCTCTTCTCACATTCAAGCGTGCCGCTAAGATGCTGGCCTGATGGGCTGACTCGGAGGCATGGAATTGAGCAGAGAATTCTCTCCACTTGACCACCGATTGTTGCAAGAAGGTTTTCCACTGAGAGAGGAGCTGCGCTTTGGCGTTTTCCGCCTCCAGTAAATCTTCTTTGGCTTGCCCCAGGACCTTCACGGCTACACCAAGCTCCTTGGTATTGTCTCGTTCGTCCTGCTTCTGCATGGTGTGCGCCATCTTCTGCAGATCCGAAGAAAGCGTGCTCTCGTCTTTCTTCATCTGTTTCAGCAGGCGATTGAGATTGTTTTGGGCTTTGCTCTCCTTCTTCTGCTCTTCCACTGAGTCCTCTGCGACTCCAGTATTGATGGGAATGGCAGGGACTGGCATCATCTGCATAGTAGGCGCCCAGTGCCCTGGTGGGCCAGAGATGGATGTCGTCGGTGGAGAAGGCATCTGCATGTTGGCAGGCTGAGAAGGATAACCTTTGCCATTGCCCTTGTCCGTCATCTGTGGAGCTGGAGGCGGAGCCATAACTTGTTGTTGAGGTGGGAAAGGCATTGCCATTGGCAGCATAGGTTGCATTGGCATCATCGGCCCTTGCATGTGCGCCATCTGGTCGTATCCTTTGCCGTACCCCTTCTGTTGGTTGTAAACATCTCCATGCCACTGATCGTTCTGGTGGTTCTTGCCACTCTTCTTCTTTCTGGATCGCGTGCGAGGGCTCCTGCTGCCAGAGTCCTGCCAGGTGGCACCATTCCAAGGTGGTGGTTGGCCTGACTTCTGGTTGTAGTTTTTCTGTTGCCCATGATGATCTGGTGGGACAAAGGTCGAGTCCACACATGTCTGCCACTCCTGGCCACACTTCCAGCATCTCGGAAAGGATCCCTTCATAATGACATGGCAACGTCCACAACGCCAAGAAGGCTGCTTTTGCGCCATTGCTCCTGAGATGCGGCGTAGAAAGATGGGATCTCTCGAGTGGTGGCTGGATAGCCTCCTTCGAATTGTTGCCAGCTGCTCTTTTGTCAGATGCTTGAGGCCCTTGACAAAGAGAAACCAGCGAAGGCGAGCTGTAGCACGTAGCTTCCGCTCCCTGCGTCGCCGGGTAAGGTTCGCCGTTGCCCACAAAATTGCCCAACGCGAGGAAAATCACGATCACGTAGCACAAGACCATAAACAGCAAGCAAATGAAACCCGAGCTTGATGATATAGTCAAGGAAAGGGAACAAAGAACCAATCCAGTAGCCAAATAGTGGGAGTGAAATTCAAGGACCAAGTCAAACTCGAAAATACACAAGCCACCAAATACCCAGGGAAATACCAGTGCGAAACAGTTCAGTAAACCCAGTGTACGCAAATGCAAGGATGTGGTCAAAGTCCCGGAAGTGCTCGATGTTGCCGTTCGATGAACACAAAGAACAGAAGCAACGGTGGTTACACCAGCACAAGGTGTAAGAGCACAAGGCAGCGAAGGTGCAGCTGCCCGCGGTCTATGGCCAAGACCGCTAAGGTCACAACGGTTGGCAGTGGACGGTGCGAGGGTCCCTGCCTAGCCGAAACCTTATATATATATATCATCATATATCATTCTCCAGCACCATTTGTTCTCCATCCATTGCCATCGGCGCACTGCGCGTCGATCCGTGGATCTTGCCAGGAGGAAATGCCATCCTCGGAATTGACGAAATACCTCGGTGGAAGCTGCGGAGATCCCATGGCTACCATGGAGCTACCATGGAAGCCCTGAAAATTGCGATGTGTCTTGAGGAAATTATGAAATTTTTTATTGGGTTTAACCAGGTTCAACCACCAAAATATAAGGATCTAACATGATTTGACGACGTTTAGCCAATGAATGATGGATATGGGTGTGTCTGAATGATGGATATGGGTGTGACTGAAAATACATGGGGAGGCCCAACCGTGGAGATTTTAATTTTAGCATTGGAGCTGTGGATCAAGGGATCTCACCACTATCACATACCAGCATGGATCGATGTGGCTACCGGGGCCTGTAAGGAGATATGCGTAAGCTAAGCCTGGTAGCTTGAACTCCAAGTTACCTTGAAAGTCTTGAAAGCCACAAGAGGGATCCTAAGGATAAAACATGATACTCTCTGGTTATGACTAACATTTCGCCATGGAAGCCATGGCCCTAATCGAAATAGATGATGTTCCCAGCGTTTGAAACCTCCATTTATGGTTGGGATTTTCCATGGCTATCTTAGTCATAACCAGATGGTAAAAATAAAGCCCCATATTTAATGGGAAAAACTATGGTTTCCTGTATTTTTTTCCTTAAACCAATCCAATCATAAAAATCACCATGTTTTCTTACATCGCTCTTATCTCCAAGGGGCTGTCGCCCAGCATCGTCCATGAAGGGCCCATGCCACTTATCCAGCTCTTGCTTGTGCTGGTGCCACAAGGTACCTTTCTGCTCTTCGAAATACCCAGCGCTATAACACTTCAAGTAGTTGCGACCTGGGTCGGGTCTTGACAGCTTGAAAAAGGAGGGGTCAAGTAGAATGCTGGCGTTGACTTTTTCGAAAACCGGAAAAAAAAAAGCCGGACAATCAAACACATGCTTGGGGGATCTTGGGGGAATATCCCATGATGGATATACTCAGCCAGACTCAACCATACGAATGCGTCAACTGTCCACCGAAAATGGAATGTTGCTGACTTCGGAATACCGCGATATGGCTCAAAATCATGAACTCTGAAATTGGGCCACCTAGAAATGACCATCCCAATTTGACCGTTTGAGCATTGAAACCCCATAGACTTGGCGGTTTGTTGATTCCTCTGGTAAACGTTTACAAAAAACGAACTGGAAAGATCCACCATTTTTTTTCTGGGTAAATCCACTATTTCGACTGGGCCATGGCTTCCAGTTCGCTTTTTCTTAACGTTTACCAGGCCGGGTGCTGGGCCGCAGCCCCTGCAGCCCAGGCGCCCAGCTCAACGATCCGCCGCAAGAAGGGCACTAAGGGATTCTCCCAGCTGCTCACTTGCCTCGGTTTTTTCCGAAACCTGCAGGTACCAGGGCCTTAAAAAAATGGCACAAAGTCAGTAAGTCCATAAAAACAGTTTTATATGGTATACATTCCATTTTTATGGCCATTTTTATGGCACTGAATGTATACCATACTGGTAAATTAACAGTTTGACCCTGAGAATCAGCAATGTTTTAATGGAAACATATGGAAACGACTCTTCCAAGCCCGATGACTGCCAGGGTCTATGATCATTTACTGGAGGGTAACCCCATTCACAACTGCCTCGGAAGAAATCGCCCGAAATCCTGACAAAAGAAACAGAATGAACATGGCTAAATCCTGAAAGATTGGATTTTTCTGAGCTTTTTTCCCGCAACTTTGGCACAAAAGATGTGATTGTTGAAAAGGTCATGACTTTGCAGTGGATGGATTCACATTGGAAAAGCATGGAAAAAAGCTACCAGTTGGGTGACTTGAAATTCGTACATGGAGGTAAAGTACTGTATGGCCCGTGTGTCACGTCTCAATAAACACCACCGCATGTCAGGCTTGCCAGGTTGGGAGGGGTTCCCAGAGTCAAACAGTTGGGATGGTCGAAATTCCACCCATAAAATGGCGATTTTTTAGGGATGGTGTACTATTGGGTTTACCACATTTACGGATTTTTATAACCAAAGATTTAGTTTAGAAGAATAGAGCCAGAAAAATAGATTGGTTGTAAAAACTTAATCTTCAAAACCTTCTCTCTATTTGTCTGGGCTCATACCCGCTCGCGTTTCGGGTGCATTTCCTGCCAAAAAATGGCAGTACCAAACCCTCCCAACCTAGCACGCAAATGCGCCACTAGATAGATATAGGTCAACAGGATGAAGCCCTCAGGTTTGTTCCCCCCGTAGCCATGAGTTTCCAGGGTAACATGATGAGCCGAGCCACCGGTCGTGATCCACATAGTATACGAAGCCTCGGTGATGCCCATGGATGATGAAGGCCGTCTCAAGGTTTTCTCTAAACATGTTGTCATAGTGGCTTGCGAATGTCTTTTTGAAGATTCAAAGATGTGTTTTCAACATTAGATCTGGATAGATCTGGGACATTTACTCCCTGTGTTGAGGCGTTAGGTCATATCGGAGGTAGTACCGGTGTGGGTCAAAGTTGGGCTACGCTGAGCGCCCTTTTCTGGGACAAAGAGCTTTGACCATACACACGTGTTTAACTTCCACAGATACCTGGATGCGCAATGCGTCAATCCCTATTTCTTGCCATCATTTGTGCCTAACTCCCCATTCTAGTTGCTTAAAGATATCATATTTGTCGCAAAAAACATGTTGTTTGCTAGAAAAACGCAATGTCCTTGCCTCAATCCCATTCTTGCTGCTTAAAATCACCAATTTTTGCATGCAACATAAGTGCCCGAGTCGTAGCCTATCCTATTTTAGCAACTGGGGAAACTAACCCCAATTCACGCCACTGATCACTTGCAATTGGTGCGTTGACCCTCTAAGTGGTGGTGCCCATCCAATTATCACAACTATTACCCTCTGGTAAACTAAGCCAACTGTGGAAAAGCACCACTTTTGGTAGGTGAATCGACTACAAATGGGCCATGTTCAATAGCTATGTGAGTTGACCGGAGGCTAATCCCATCCTGTAGAAGCCCTTTTCCCCAGCTCTAAAACTTTCATTTCTTTCGGGAATCTCCAGCCCAGGATTTAGTTGAATGATTTTTCCCAGCTACAAAGCTTCATTTAAATGTCGCCACAAGTTGGTCTGATGACTTTCCCAGCTCCCATGGGCCATCATGGGCCATGGCGGCCATGGCTTCCAGAGCAGACTGTTAAACTACCAGGTGCTACTTGAAAAAAATATATATATGCGGAGAATTAATTCCAATTATGCCATTAAAACCTCCAATACAGGATTGTCCCAGCTTCTAACCCGAAAAAAAGGTGTGCCTCAGTGGCGTGTGTTGGTGTTGTTTCATGCCATTAACTACAGTTACAATTACCAGGACCATAACCCATAAGTTATACTAGTCAACTAAACCAACTTAGCTATCATTTGGGGGCCCCATGAAATCCCACTATAGCCCGTTAAATCACACTGTGATCCCGCTACAATCCCCATAAAAATCCAATAAAAAACCCCACTATGATCCCAATAAGATCCCAATAGATCCCACTATAATCCCATAAAAATCTGATAAATCCCATAAAGAATCCCATTGAAATCCCACTAAAATTCCACTATAATCTAATAAAAAGCCCTACCAAATCAAAAAAGAAATAGAAAATCCACCCTTAAGAATATCTAGAAAATCCTCATCAAGTTCCTCTTAAAAAAAAAACCTCAAACAAATGTCCAACTCCTCCGCTCCGCCTGAGGAGTTGTCGGAGTGCGCCGTCCAGCGGGGCGGCAGCGGCGACTGGATCCCTACCTCGGCGATCCAACCGAACTCCTGCTCCTCGCCAGATGGAGGCAGGGATTCACCGGAACCCAGGGGAAAAACCAGGGGTTTTTATCAAGGGAAATGAGGAGACAGGTTAAGGAAAATGCCATGGAAATCGGGGGCAAATCAATGGACATGAGAGGGAAACCATGAGAAAATCAAGGGAATCCAAGGGAAATCCATGGGAAAATCATGGGGAAAACCATGGGAAAAGATGTGTTTTCGGTGCGAAAATCACCATGTTCGTAGGGGAAAATTACAATTTTAGGTTGGGAAGATGTCAATTGTGATTGGGTGACAATTTAATTGGTGGAAAATTTACAAGTTTCATGATTTTCATGTGGCAAAATTGTAACTGTGAACGGCGAGCATGGTTCATGGAAAAATCATCATCTAAATGGGGAACATGGCCATTTTCACGGAATAAACCTAAATTAATCACAAGACTGACCATAGCAGCCATAGCCTTCGGAAATCAAACCTGGCAAAACATGGAAAAACCTCCTCCATTTATCCATTTCGTCAAGGGATTTCCAGCAGCCTGCCTCGTTTGACACCGTAGATTTGGTTGTGGCATGCCCTGGCTGCCATAAACCTACCATGACTCTGGTAGGTTGAAATCCCAGGCACCAAACATACCAAACTGGTGATGACTTGGGGATGCAGATGAAATTGGGTGAATCCCACGGATCCGTGACCCGTCTCCTCTGACAAATGGATACCCAGTTGTTGCTTGAAGGCTGCGATCGCATGACTTTCGTCCTGTGATGCGCAAATCACAGGTTTTTGGAAAATAGAGTGAGTGATGTGTCAAATCACTGGTTACTCGTGAGATTAGATGGGTATGTTATGTCTGTGTTTTCTCATGCCCACACATCAGTCTCAGGTAAAAAAATATTGAGAAGTAAAACGCGATCATAACAAACATACTCATTGCCATGAAAACTCTATATCATGGTTATTATGATTGCTGTTTATCCTTTATAATGTCTAATTATATATTTCTTGTCACCCCCTCCAAAAGCACCGCCAAAATCGATCAATCTTAGAGTCCCAATCATCAATCACCACGGAGGGCAGCGGATCGCTCGACGTGATCAAATCACTCGCTGGAAACTTATGGCTATAGTTATAAGTTGGTGGTTTCAACCCCTCTGAAAAATATTAGTCAGTTGGGATTATTATTCCCAATATATGGAAAAATAAAAAATGTTCCAAAACACCAACCAGTATAAGTTGGTGTATAACCCCATCTACCCTCTGGTAAACTAACATAGCTATGGAAAATCACCAGTTTTGATGGGTAAATCAACTATAAATGGGGCGTTTTCAATAGCCATGTTAAATCACCAGAGGGTAACTATAGATTTATCCATCATAACTCCTAGCTTATTATAGTTACAAAGCAACTTATCTAACTATGAGGCCCCTTCCTGTATGAAAAAAACGCCACTTGAGCAGTGTTACCCTGTGTCGTACCTGTATAGTATGTTGGTTGAGAGCGGGATTCCCCGCTCAATTTTGCACCAAAGGACCCACATTCAGGGCCATTCACACCGCTCATGCCTTGTATTTAAACAGTTTCGCCCCAACCCGGACGTTGCTCCACACTTGCGATCGTCATGATCATCATCGTCATCATCATCATCATTATCATCATTATCATCATCATCATAATCATCATCTTTATCTTCATGAGGGATCAAAAATCGCCACCCCCTATGAACAATATGTTGGTTGGGGTAATAACATCAACTTTATCTTCATGAGGGATCAAAATTCGCCATCCCCTACGAGCAATATGTTGATTGAGGTAATAACATCATCTTTATCTTCATAAGGGATCAAAATTCGCCACCCCCTATGAACAATATGTTGATTGGGGTACAGTAATAACATCAATTTTATTTTCATAGCCACCTGAAGTCAGACGCGGAGCAACGTCAGGGTTGCAGCGAACATTTTGTTTGAGGTAATGTGAACCCTGGGTTAATGAACTCTGGTTGATTACAGTAAGTAGATACTAATTACGCCCATGCTTGCCACTAAAATGATAACCCCCCCCAATTAAACAGCCTAGGGGATTCTTGATTTGGGTTGACACTATACTGACTATACTATACATCATTTGAGCCATCCCCACGTAGCTGGCTGGTCTTTGTCAGAAACAACTCTGATCAATTTCTTGGACCCGAAAGACTTCCAAAACATGAAAATTGTAAAACAACTGTATAATCAGATTATAATCATTGTTTAGTATTGAGTTTACTATTGAAGTGATGATTACCTTACCAACTTAAAGTGATTATTATACACAACTGCAAAACCAAGTCTTCAACATGCTTGAAAGATCCCAAAATGTGCAACTGGCATACGTTGTAAGATCCGATCTTCCTCACCGCTAAAATCGTGACCAAAGAATCTTCAAAAACCGTGGCCAATCGTGCATGTCATGCAAAAAAACACATTGGCAGTGTACTATAAACTATAAACAATGGTAGTACACTGCCATAATAAGGGTGGTTTATGCCATATCGTAGTAAACTATAAACATATGGCAATGTCATGAACCACCCATATGTTATTTCGATGGTTTATACCTTGGCTGGTTTCTCTACCAGGTTCTTCTGAGGCTATGATGCTGAGGAATGTCAGAGCCTGCCCTTGGCCTGCCACACCCAAACCCTTGATCTGCCACACCCAAACCCTTGACCTGCCACACCCAAACCCCTGACCTGCCACGCCCAAACCTTTGACCTGCCACACCCAAACCCTTGACCTGCCACACCCAAACCATCGACCTGCCACACCCAAACCCTTGACCTGCCACACCCAAACCCCTGACCTGCCACGCCAAAACCTTTGACCTGCCACACCCAAACCATCGACCTGCCACACCCAAACCATCGACCTGCCACACCCAAAGCCCTTGACCTGCCACACCCAAACCCTTGACCTGCCACACCCAGAGCCCTGACCTGCCACACACAAACCCTTGACCTGCCACACCCAAACCCTTGACCTCCCACACACACACATACACGCCTGCGAATTATCAATTCCAAAAAATATATGCAGATATTTAAAATGAAAAATCAAAATATTAAATAGACAATTGAAAAACAACAAAGAAATAAATCTTAAATTAAGGTGCTAAATGATGCTACATATACAAAGAACATGGTCAAACGTAAAATGATAGGGATGCTTCTTTCAATGAATCCTCATCGAATTTCAGAAATTCTCCAGGCACAAACGTTTGGAAATAGGAAAATCTACTGTATCTGCAACTTTCACCTCCTGGCTGTCAGGTTGTTCGTCCGCTGGCGTTCCCACTCAGGAAGGGGCCCCTTGTTTGCACGGCTACTCCTAAGCCATGGATGCGTAGGATCATTGGCGATCCTTGGAAAACAGTGCGCTTGTGCACTTGGGTTGACATTTGGATTTGATCGTGGTTTAGCATTCTTTTCATTTGACATCAACCCATTGAACACCGAGCCCAACGCTCACTGCCATTCTCCAGCTGCATTGGCAGCGGAGCGACGGTGCTCCAGGGCCTACCTTTTGCTGCCTGGTGAGATTCCTCTAAGAGCTGTTTCTCCGGGTGAACATACTTTTTTTTTTGCATTACTACTTCATTGCCGAAGCCTACGGCATCACAACAACCTTGCTGAGGTCTTTGGCAATTGCTTTTGCATTTTCTTTAGTGAACTAAGGAGTTCACACCTTTTCTCCTTCCTGAAGTATGACGGAACGTGACTCAGCTGGCAGAATTCCAACTTGGGATGGTCAGGCGAAGGGATGGCGTAGATATACAAAAGAAGTGGCCTGGTATGTGTCCTCAACTCCAGTGAATAAAAGACGATATGTAGCCTCCAAGCTGATTAGCCAACTGCAAGGAACTGCACGTCTTTTAGCCATGTCATGGAATAGGTCTGAGTTTGATAGCAACGGTGGAACTTTGGTTCTTCTTCGCAAGCTTGCTGCCTCTCCACTTGTGCGGCAGACTTTACCCAACACTGCAGCGATCCTGCAGCAGTACCTGAGCTTCAAACGACGTCCAGGTGAAAGCATGGCGAACTTCCTGGTCCGTGAGACTTTGGGCTATGAGGAGTTTGCGGAAGCTCTCCAGCGTTTGCGGGAGGAGCGCAATGGCGTTGATCCCTCTGAGATGAACTTTGGACTTCCTCCTGAAGAAGAAGATGCATGGGAGACTTGGTGGTATGATGATAGCTATGACAACACAGCTGCATCAACAACTACTGCTGATGATACCGCTGATCCTCCAGTTCATATGGGACAACCTCCTGCTGAAGGCGAACGTTCTGAAGATCAACAACCTTCTGGAGTTCAAGAAGAAGTTCGGGCTAGCATGGGTTCTTCACCAAGTCATGGACGAGGTGGACCTCCTTCTGTTCATTCAGCTGCCATTCAAGCACCTTCAACTGCAGGTGTGAGTGAGCTTTCTCCAACTGACTCATTCATCATGGGTGTGCTGCGTGGATGGCGCTTACTTCAAGCTGCATGTTTGAATGCTGAGGAAACCCGTGATATCCTCTCCACGACTCAAAACAGGCTTGAATTTGAAGCCATCAGCAAGGCCTTACAGACCTTGTGGGATGAACAGCTGCTTGGTCAGAGATATCATTCTTCTTCGGCATCCTCCAACTATGGACATGTGTACATGCAACAGTCTTGGGACGATGATACATGGCACTCTGACTCTTGGGACACTTCGTCTCATGATGCTGACTGGTGGGGTGATGCACAATGGCATGAAGAATGGTATGATGATTGGCCATGGGAAGAAGAACATGCGAGCTCTGAGCCTCCAACTTTGGCGCCTGTAGAAGAAGAAGATGACCAGTTGAAAGAAGCACATCAAGCTGAGCAAGCTGCGGAACAACTAGCGATGGAAGCAAAGCGCACATGGGTGGAAGCTCAGGGCACCACTCAGCAGATGCGCAAAGACCGTGGTTTTGGACAACATGGTCCTCCTTCTACCAGATGTTTCAACTGCGGTGGCAACCATTTTGCCCGCGATTGCCCAGACAAGCGTGTGCTCCCTTACTCTGGCAAAGGTGGCAAAAACAACCACATGATGTCCTATGACGACCACCAGCTCTACTACACGACCCCGGCCAAAGGCAAGGGCAAGAAGGGTATGAAAGGCAAGTTCAAGTCAGCTGCAATGGCTGACCAGTATGCTCTTTGGACCAGCAAGACCAAAGGGAAAGGGAAGAACTCTGGGAAGCCAGTCAGGCCTCCTGTGAATGCCTACACTGCCTTTTACGACCTTGGTGGACTTGAAATGGACCCGCAACCTCATTTTTCGGCTGCAACAGCTGTCAAAGATGCTTTGACCAGTTCTACCACTGGTATGTTAGATTGCGGTGCAACAGCTTCTGCGGCACCTGATTTAGCAGTTCATGGTCTTATTCAGGCCATTCTGGCACAAGACCGTGGAGCGAAGGTCGACATCCAGCCATATGTGCGGCCGTTTTTCAGGTTTGGAAATGGGAAATGGGGTCAAGCACTTTACAGAGCAACTATTTCATCAACTGTTTCAGGGCAACATCGTAGTTTTTCACTATTTGCACTTCCCAATCCTGATGACCCTTCACCCAACAACTTAGTCCCCATTCTCATCGGCATGGACCACATTGGTACTTCTGGTTGTCAAATGTTGGTGGATTTTAGTTTGGGCTATGTGATTGACGGTGTAGACCCCCAAGCAGAGCTCTATCAATTGAAGACCAACTCCAAGGGACATTTTGTGTATGACGTTGTCTACCACCTCACTCGTGGCAAATCCAACCAGCAAGGGTCTGCACATGTACATGTTGATCGCAGTGAACAGCAAGTTTTTTCATCAACTTTGCAGTTTCGGCCATTGGAATTTTATCACTCTCAAGTTGAACGCAAAGCACCAGTGAATCCTGATCAACGAAAGGAACTGATGTGGAAGCTCTATGACCATGTCAAGTCGAATGCTGCAGCCAAATTGGCTCACTCAATGTGCTCTGAAGCACAACTTGATCCCCACGTCGACATCTCCTTTCGTGATCACCTGCGCAATGGCCCCAAAGACTTCGAAGGCCGAGCAGGATTTGCTGACCGTGATCGAAGGCATGACTCCAGCCAAGCCCAAGAATCCATCTCAGCCTCCAGACATGAACCGCAAGATCGAGATGGACCCTCGAGACCCAAGAGCTCAAGGGACATGGCCGTGCTACAACCAGCACCAGCCGGGCACTTGGCAGAAGAATGCTCATGGAATGTGGAGACATTGCGACGTGTGCAATGTCAGGATGATTTACGTGCCAAGACAGGGCGCTCCAAGCTCATCGACACAGGCAATGAACCACTCCATGGTCCAGCAGATGCTTGCCGAGCTCCAGCCGTTGATGCACAACTGCAAGCCAACAGCTCGCATCTGCAAGGCCATGATGGACAAGATCACAGCGGAAGCCCAGCTCAGAACTCTGATCACCAGCGCCTTGAAGAATCCAGTGCCGGTGGAAGAAGTTCCAATCAGCACTCCAAAGGCCAAGGCGAAGCCGGGCGGACAATCAACATCGTCCAGCCCCCACAGCTGGGAAGTTCCTGTGGAGGAGGATATGGCATCGGCTCTCGAGATGCAGATGGCCGAGAGCATCGGACAATGAGATCCTCGAGCTCTACTTCTTTGTCGAGCCCTTCTGCGAAGCATGTTAGCTTTGTCGAATCGAGCTCCAAAACCAAGCCGAGCTCTATGTGCCAAAATTCCTCTATGTGCCAAGACTCATCTATGACCAAGACACCTACGAGCTTGTCGTCGGCGTCTATGTCCAAAAGTATGACAAAGTCCATGATGTCTTCGAGAAAACCTCTTCCCAATAACATTGCCATGAAAATGATGCAGATGGTCGCCGTGATGACATCCACCTTGACTTCGGTGGCCGTGGATGCGAGCCTTGAAGGCCGTGATGGTCTCTGGGAAGTTGCCTGCTCAGAGAACAGCTGGCTTACAGCAGCTGCCAATGAACATGGAATTCCAAGTCGCAGAATCAACTTTGCCCAGGGCTATGACATATACAAGCCTGAGACGTGGATGCGTTTGAAGGAAGAGCGTCGTCAACGGCGTCCCAAGAAGATCTGGCTTAGCCTTCCTTGTACCAAGTTTTGCAAATGGACCCAGGTCAACTACAACACTCCCGAGCGCAAGGAAGTTCTTGAAAGCATGCGACGTCGTGAACGCCGAATGCTGAGATGGGTAGCTGACTTTCTTGTGACAGCACTTGACGAAGACCCAGACCTTGATGTGTACTGGGAATGGACTTACCCTTGCAGCGGTTGGCAACAAGGTCCTATGGTGAAACTTGAACAAGATCTTCAAAAACGTGGCATTGCATGGGAATCCTGTCGCATCGATGGATGCAACTATGGGCTCATGGACTCCAAGAATGATTTTTTTCTGCACAAAAAGTGGCTCATCAAGACCACAGATGAACTTTTTGGAAGAACTTCAGGGCAAAAGTGTGCCCCAGAAACCATACCCACAGTCTCATTCAAGGCTTGGAAACAAGCCGAACTGCCTATTACCCGAAGAGGATGGTCGAAAGCATTGTTCGACATTGGAAACGTCAACTTGCTCCTCTTCGACACCTCAAGCTCCTGACATCATCCACTGATGATGTGATCGATGAAGATGAAAACTGGGAGCGAAGACTTCATCCAGTACTACCTCAACATGATTGTCGAGCTCTACAACAAGAAGCGATGGCAAGTGAATCTGCTGACGCAGATGCTGCAGCCTCCTCTGAGGCCAAGGATGAACAGTTGGTTCCTCCGTCCAGCGCTGCGAGATCCCTGGCGGCCATTCCTCAAAAAGAACAAGATGCATGGAATGCAAGGCTGCACCATTACCACCGTACAGCTGGACACCCAACCAACAGAAATCTCATCCATCTCTTTCGAGATGCAGGCTTGCCAGAATGGAAACTTGAAATGGCTCGTCAGTTTCGATGCGCTGCTTGTGAAGGCATCAAACTTGGCGGTTCCAGCTCCGGCAATGTGCCTCCTGCTGCGACCCATGAGACCTACAAGGCGTGGCAGGCCATAGGCTTTGATGCCAGCGAATGGTTGGTACCTGGTCAACGTGTCAAGATCAAGTTCATCCTGTACATGGATCTAGCAACAAAGCTGAAAGTCATACATGTAGCCAAAGAATATAGCTTTGTTGAAATGAAAGCTGAAAGCACACAGGATGTCATTACTGGTTTTGCTGAAAAATGGCTTTGCGACAAACCAAAGCCTGAGATCTTGATCCCTGACAACGCTAAGACCTTTCAAAGCCGTGAGATGCATGAGTTTTGCAATTCAACTGGAATTTTTCTCAGTTTTCCTGCAGAGCGTGAATCATGGGCACATGGCATTGTCGAGTCAGCAGTCAAGGACGTGAAGATGACAGCGTCCGCAATCCAAACTGATCAGCCTACGTTGGAACCCAAGGTGACTTTGATGCTAGCATGTGCTGCCTTGAACGCTACTGAGTACACCAAGGGATACTCCTCCTTTCAGTGGGCGTATGGAAAAGACTATGTGCTGACCGATGAAGACCTTCGGACCTTCAAGGACGTTGCAAAG